TGTTTGTGGTACCACAGGCCAGTTGAGGCAGGTTGAGGCAGGAAGATCACAAGATGAAGACCAACCTGGGCAACATAGCAAGTTCCAGATCAGACTGAACTACATACACAGCGAGGCTCTGTTTCAAAAACACAGGGCCTATCGATGTAGCTCAGTATTAGAGAACTTGTTCAACATGTACAATATGAACAATGCTTTGGATTTAATCCCCAGCATTCCACTCACCCATGAAAAAAATGAGATCAAGAGTAACAGGAACTATAAAACACACAGAGATTGTAAAAATGCTCTTCAGTGGTTAGTGGGTCACTTAAGAAATCAGGGAAGAAACTGGAAGAACTAGAATCAAATGAAAATGAAACGAAAGCTGCAGGTGTGGCTTCGGTTAGTGGAGCACTTGCCTAGTATGTATGAAGCCCTGGGTTTGATCCCCATCACCACATAAACCAGGCAAGGTGGCACAGGTTTGTGATTCCAGCATTGGGAAGTAGATGCAGGAGTATCAGATGCTCAAGAGTACCCTCAACTACAGAGAGTTTGAGGTCAGCCTGGGATACCCTGTCTCAAAAAACTAAATAAAAACACAATTTATTGTAAAGAGTGGTGACTCACCTGTAATCCCATACTTGGGATTACAAAGCAGAAGGATTGTCATGAGTTTGAGGTCAGCCTGGGCTGCATAAAGTGTTCTAGATCAGTCTGTGCTACAGAGAGAGAAAAAGGAGGGTATGAGGAGAAGGAGGAGGAGGAGGAACACAATTTACCAAAAACTTTTGGATATAAACAAAGGCAGCTCTTTTTTTTAAATTTTTGTTTTATGTGTATGTGTGTATTGCCTGCATATGTGTAAGTGCACCCATGCCATGCAATGCCCATGGAAGTCAGAAGAACATGTCGGATTCCCTGGGACTGGAGTTACAGATGGTTGTTAGCCGCCATGTGGGTGCTGGGAATCAAACCTGCATCCTGCAAGAACAGTCAGTGCTCTTAACCACTCAGCCATCTCTTCAGCCCAACAAAGGCAATTCTAAGAGAAAAGATTATGAAGGGTTTTTTTTGGGAGAGGGGGATAGTCTTTTTTGAGACTCCCAAGTGCTCCTCCCAAGTGCTGGGATTAAAGGCACATGCCACCTTTGATAGTGATTTTTTAATATAAAATTCATTTTAATCCCAGCACTCAGGTAGTAGAGGAAGGTGGATCTCTCTGAGTTTGAGGCCTGCCTGATCTGCACAGTGAGTTCCAGGCCATCTGGGGCTACAGGGAGACCCTGTCTCAAAAAACAAAAACAAAAAAATTTTAATTTAAATAACAAGTAATCCAATCGATAAATGGACAAATAAACAGATACTTTTTAAAGATATAAATGGCCAATAATCACACAAAAAAATGTTCAACATTCTTTGTCATGAGGAAAATGTAAATCAAAACTACATCAAGGTTCTATTTCACAGGCCGGCAAAATGATTCTATAGGTAAAGACGATTGTGCCAAGCCTGAGACCTGAGTTCAAGCCCCAAGATTCCTACATTAGAAGAAACTGACTCCCACAAGTTGTCCTCTGACCTCCACATACACACTGTGGCACGTCCCACATATACAAAAAAATTAATAAAATGTAATAAAATTTTTAAAGGTTTTCCATCTCACTCCAGTAAGAATGATTATCATCAAGAAAACAACAAATACTGGGAAGAATGAGAGGGAAAAAGAACCTGCATAAGCTGTTAATGAGCAGGTGAATTAGTCACAACACTGAAAATTAGGATTTCCTCAAAATATTAAAAATAGAACTACTAAATTATCTCATCAGACCACTCCTGGGTATTTACTCAGAGGAACCAAAGTAAGCATATATACTAGTAATACCTGTATACTCAGATTTATCACTATTCATAAAAGCCAATTTCATGACATCACTCTAGGTACCCCCCCCAAAATGTGGTATAGAAACACAATGGCGTTTTCCTCTTCCATAATGAAGAAACTGTGTCATTTGTAGAACAATGGATACAACGTGTCATTATCACAGCTACCAAAACTGAAGCCAAATTCAGAAAGACAAGTATCACTCACTTTCTCACATACGTGGAATTTATATTATATATATATGTACGTATATACATGTATCTATATCTACACACACATACACACACACACACACACACACACACACACACACACACACACAGTGGTGCACAAATGTAATCCTAACACTTGGGAGGTGGAGGAAGGAGGAATTCAAAGTTATCCTTGGCTACACAGCAGTTTGACACCAGCCTGGTCTACATGAGAACCTGTCTCAAAATGTGAATGAGGGACCAGAAAGATGGCTCAGCAGATACAGGGGCCCACACCAAGCCTCACCACCTGAGTTCAGTCCTAGGAACCCACATAGTGGAAGGAGAGCACTGACTCCCTCAATTTGTCCCTTGATGCTCACAAGCACGAGATAAACAAATAAAAATGTAATTAAAAAAAAAAAACTTGAATACTATAGAACAGAAGAGAACAGAATAACCACAGGAAAGCAGGAGGAATATTTATGAAGAACAAAACCAGAGGAGGGAAGTACAGGGGCAAAGAGCAATGAGGGGCTGAGGATGAGAAAATACATTATACACACCTACGAAATGTCATAAAACCCATAAATTCATATACACAAACTAAAAGCCAAAGATATGGCATTTACGAAATTTAGAGTTAACATTACTCTCAATAAAAGTCCAAAAGCTGCCGGGCGTGGTGGTGCACGCCTTTAGTCCCAGCACTGAGGAGGCAGAGTCACGCGGCTCTCTGTGAGTTTGAGGCCAGCCTGGTCTGCATAGTGAGTTTCTAGCCAGCTGGGGACTTCAGTTTTATCTCAAAAATACAAAGAAAAAAAAAATCCAAAAACTTTGCATTTGTGATCAGGAACAAAACAAAATATTAATTCAACCATGCTGTTCAATATTGTTCTAGAAGTTCTAGTCACAGATACTAAAGGAGAAAATAAAAACTATTCAAACTGCAATGCAAAGTAGAACTATTTATATTTGCAGGTGACATTATCTTGTAGTTTACAAATTGTAAAAAAGTCAAGCTGGGTGGCACACACCTTTAACAGAGACAGGCAGATCTCAGCCTAGTCTACACAGTGAGTTCTAGGTCATCTGGGCCTACGGGAGACCACCGCAAAAAGACCAAAAAAAAACAAAAAAAAAAAACAACAAAAAAAGAGTAGGGACTAGAGAGATGGCTCAGTGGTTAAGAGCAATGGCTATTCTTGCAGAGGACCTGGGTTCGATTCCCAGCACCCTCATGGTAGCTAACAACCGGCTGTAACTCCAGTTCCAGGGAATCTAATGCCCTCTTCTGACCTCCATTGGCATTGCAGGATACTGGTGCACTTACACACATGTAGGCAATATATTCACACACACAAAATATTTTTTAAAAATCACACAGGTGCATTCATATACATGGAGGCAATACACTAATATACATAAAATAAAAATAATAATAATTAAGCTAATAGAGCTAATAAATCCAATGATGCTGGAGGGTACAAGACTAACTCCCAAAATTAGCTATATTTCCATACTATTGAGTAATCCAAAAAGGAAATTAAGCAAACAAGTCTAGGGCTGGACAGATGGCTCAGTCATTTAAGAGCCTGTACTGCTCTTCCAGAGGACCCAAATTCAATTCCTAGCAACTATGTCAGGTGGCTCACAACTACCTGTAACTCCAGCTCCTAGGGAATCTGATGCCTTTGGCTTCCACAGGCACCTGCACTCACATGTACAAACCCTCACACAGACACACACCACACACACATACATATAAAATTTAAAATTTTTAAATTAAATTAAAAAATTATTAAATCCTCTGTTTAACAAGATTCAAAAGAATAAAATACCTATCAAACAATCAAAGGGTGAAAGACATATTACAGTGAAAAACCACAAAATAATATTAAAATAAATTTGATATAATTTAAATAAATGAAAAATGCCTCATGCTCAGGATGGAAAAGTTAACACTGAAAAGATAACATTCCCCAAACTGACCCCACTATTTAATCTCCATGAAAATTTCATGTTTTACATAAACAGATAAGCCGAACCTAAAAAATACTTCTTAGGAGGCTCTCAAATATCTAACTCCAGGCTGTCCTGCACCCATCAAACCAACTATGTAGCTGAGACTGGCCTTGAGGTCCTGCTCCTCATGCCTCGACTTCCAAAGCACTGGGATTACATGCAAGTGCCACTATGGCCACCCGACTCTATGCTGTTTCTACTAAGGGCAATTATAATGAACACAGTACCTTAATGTATGCACATATGGTAAATTACTAGGGACATTCTAAAAGCACTTTGTTTTCACTGAAAAATCAATATAGACATTTATATTTAAAAAAAAAAAAAGCCTTGTAACTATATACTAAATATTTCATGACAGCTAGAGAAAATTTTGATTTTTCTATTTTTAGTAGTAGATCTTGAGCAAGCTAGGCAACCTAAGACCCAACCTCAATCCCTGATTTAGAGAGAGGAATGGAGAGGAAGAAGTAGAAAGAGTAGGAGAGAGAGAAAGAGAAACAGAGAGAGAACAGTTTTGGGGGGTTTCTTTTCCAGTTTCTTGGGACAGAAGCTCACATAGCCCACGCTGGCCTTTTTCCTGGTATGTAGCCCAGGATGACTTCAACTTTCTGGCTTTCCTGTGTCTACTCCCCAAGTGCTGGAATTACAGATATGCACCACACCTAGCTTGCAACTATTTTTTTTTAAAGGAATGCTCCTTTGCTGAAGGTACTTGGGGACTTAACAGCCCAAATAGCCCCTTAGTCACATGGTATCTTTTATCACAGCTTCTTCTTTTAATTTAGAGTATGTGTAGCCATGTAGTAACAAATAATCAAGAACTTCAAATTTCTACTACTATGTTCCTTTAATAAATTGTTTCTCTTTAAAATAAATTTGATTCCTTATACCATAGCAAAAGAAAGTGACCATACCCAACATCTGTAAGGGGTGGTTTATCACGGCCTCTCTTATAACAGAGGAAAAGTTCTGGACTTTTTAGACTTCCATAGTTCAAGTTTGCTTGGAGTGCTGATGGAGTGGATTCGACACAGGTGTAACCTTCAGGTACTGTTTCCCCAGCCGACTTGATAATGATTGCAATGTCTGTAATTGGAGCTTTAGGTCCAGGTGATTTAGTGTCTAAACGATTTATTTCTTGATCCAAAAGAGTGGATGTATCAGTGAGACCTGCCACAACAAAGTAGTCTGTCACTCTTGGTCCTTTATCTTCGAGCATGGCTGCTGCTCTATTTCCTAAAAGAGAAGAAAAGACATCATATAATTCATCTTGACTAAAATTAAGATACCTCTGAGCTAGTAAACCAACTACCATACTTCTCAGATTTGTAATTGAACTTCATTCTGCAGAAGGCTTTTATCATCTTCTCAGCTTTTACACACACACAGTGTGTCAAGTTCATTTACAGCCCAACTATAACCATTTCAAGTACCTATGACTGTTATTTTAAGACTAATCAGCTGGGTGTGGTGGCCCATACCTGTAATCCCAACACCTGGAAGGCTAAGGCAGAAGGATTTTGAGTTTGAGGTCAGCCTGAACTACACAGTGAGATTCTGTCTCAAAAAATGGAAAAGGGCTGGCAAGATGGCTGAGCAGGTATAAGCACTTGTCTCCAAAGCCTGATGGCCCAAGTCTCATCCCTGGTACCCATGGTGGAAGGAGAGAACCAAGTCCTCAAGCTGCCTCTGATGTCCACACAAACTAGTGTGTATACATACATACATACACACACAAAAATACATAATTCTTAAAAAGATGTATCTTATTTTTAATGTGTGTGACAAAAAAAAAAAAAAAAAAAAGAAAACAAAACCAGGCCAGGCCTACT